GCCATCCAGTCCAACTCCCTTCATCAGGGCAAGAAAACGTAATCAAAGCCTTCCTGACAAAGAGCCATCCAGTAATAGATATCGATAGATAGATACGATTCACACACAGAGAGATATAGTATCATAGATTTGAAAGGGACCCCTAAAGGACAATTATATGTCACATGTTGCAGAGTAGGCAAACCAAACAATCTCCATATCAACACTGACAAAGAAACAGCAAGAAATACCATTTACCCACAAGCATAAAGAAATTACATGTATTAGAAAGCAACACTTTCTCATTACTTTATATTCCAGATCACCAGACTGGGCCACAGCGTGTGGCAGGGGACAGCTAGTGCTATATATATATATATCAGTGCTTGCTGCTATTTTAGTAATGTGATTTTCAAGAAGATTCCATCTGAACATGAGGAAGAACTTCCTGTGAGAGCCGTTCAGCAGTGGAACTCTCTGCCCCGCTTCTTTGGAGGCTTTTAAACAGAGGCTGGATGGCCATCTGTCAGGGGTGCTTTGAATGCAATGTTCCTGCTTCTTGGCAGGGGGTTGGACTGGATGGCCCATGAGGTCTGTTCCAACTCTTTGATTCTGTGATTCTATGATTAATCTGGATTATATGACATGATAGCCATTTATAAATATGTGAGAGGAAGCCACAGGGAGGAGGGAGCAAGCTTGTTTTCTGCTTCCCTGGAGACTAGGACGCGGAGCAATGGCTTCAAACTACAAGAGAGGAGATTCCATCTGAACATGAGGAAGAACTTCCTGACTGTGAGAGCCGTTCAGCAGTGGAACCTCTCTGCCCCGGAGTGTGGTGGAGGCTCCTTCTTTGGAAGCTTTTAAACAGAGGCTGGATGGCCATCTGTCAGGGGTGATTTGAATGCAATATTTCTGCTTCTTGGCAGGGGGTTGGACTGGATGGCCCATGAGGTCTCTTCCAACTCTATGATTCTATGATTCTAAGACAATTCCTGCGTTTCCCTGGCAAACTTTGTTCTGGACTTCTCGTTTCCAGATCCATTGAGGTTTTCTGGGCCAGGTGTATGGAGAGGTTTTGCCTTGGCCTTCCCTTGAGGCTGAGAGAGTGTGCCTGGACCAAGCGGTTTGCAGGGGCGACCGAGGATTCGAACCCGGATCCCCAGAGTTCAGGACCAGGCTCACCTCCCTCCCCTCCACGCGCCCCGCCCTATCTCAGCCACAACTCCCCCTCCCTCACCCAGACCCAAGGGCGGGCCGCTTCCCCTCAAACGGACGCCCCAGCTGTCCAATGGCGACGCCTTTCGATATAAACAACCCCGCCCCTTCGGAACGCGACGGACCAATAGCAATGCCCATTTAGATGAGAGGGGAGAGAGCGCATCGTTTCTTTTTCCCTCCTGCCAGGAGGGCTTCGTTGCCTCCGCCCGCTCCGTTCTTGACTGAGATTGGCATTGCTGTCCTCCAATGAGCGCGCGCGGCCTTTGGGCGGGGGCGGTCCCCCCTAGCTCAGGCACACGCGGGTTGGGTTGCGCTGCGGGGCGAAGTTGCTGTGAAGGCGCAGAGGCGAAGGTGGCGGCATCGACGGAGACGGCGGAGGAATGCGAGGCGCCGCGGCTGCTTCTGAGGCGAGAGAGGCTTCGTCTCGAGCCGTCCGCGTGGCCGCTGAGGTAACAGGCGCGGGCCAAGCGGCGCGTGACAGGGAGGGAGAGAAGGAGGAAGGGCGGCCAAGGGGCTGACTGGTCTCCCCTCAGTCAGTTCGCCTCACGCTGGGGGCCTTCTTTCCCCCTCCAGCATTACCCAGAATGCCCCAGAGGAGCCCTCACTACGGCTGGAGCTTCCCTCGGATCTGCCTCTCCCTCCCTGGCTGGGACTGAAGTGTGGCAGGTCTCCCCAGCCGGCCACCGCCTGAGGGAAAGGAAGGATGCCCCTCGGCCGCACCCCCTCCTGCCTTCTCACTGCCCTCTGCCAAGGGAGGAAAGAAACTGCTACACCTTTCCTTCCCTTTCTTCCCCATCAGCATTTAGACAAAGAACTTCTCCAGCCTGCGAGGTCGGCATAGTAATAATAATAACAACAATAACAATAATTTATTTCTATCCCGCTTTTCTCTCAGGGCCCATCCACACAGCCCTACAACCCAGAATATCAAGGCAGAGTAACACACAATATCTGCTTTGCACTGGGTCATCTGAGTCCACGCTGCCTTAGATCCCAGTTCAAAGCAGATATATTGTGGGATGAACCAACCTGGACACAGCATATTATTGGAGAACACAGAAATGTTGGACTGCTTCACTCATCTGGAGAGGCCCTGCTCGCGATTCCACCTGCGTCGCAGGCGCGTTTGGTGGGGACGCGAGACAGGGCCTTTTCTGTGGTAGCCCCCCGACTTTGGAACTCAAAGACATCAGACAGGCCCCTACGTTGACAGTTTTTAGGAAGTATTTGAAGACCTGGCTGTTCCGATGTGCCTTTCCAGAATAGGAAAACTCCAGCAACACGTCCCAGAAGCACTTTATTAGAGTTTAAGGTTGCCTGCACACTGCACTTACCCTACCACCTGTCACACTCAGCACTTTTTAATCTGTACCCATTACATTTGGCCCGGCCCTAGTTTTATTGTGTTTTGGTGTACTGTTTTTGTTGTTCTGATATTGCTTTAATTGTTTTTGATTTGCTTTAAGTTGTGTATTTGTTATGTTGTTGTTTTATTGAGGCCTTGGTATGTGCCGGCAGAACTGAAGACCAACAGGTAGCAGGTTCGAATCCGGGGAGAGGCGGATGAGCGCCCTCTATCAGCTCTAGCTTCTCATGCGGGGACATGAGAGAAGCCTCCCACAAGGATGATAAAAACATCAAATCATCCAGGCGTCCCCTGGGCAACGTCCTTGCAGACAGCCAATTCTCTCACACCAGGAGTCACTCCTGACACGACAAAAAATCATAAAAAAAATAATTGAGGCCTTGGCCTTTGTAAGCCGCATCAAATCCTTCAGGAGATGCTAGCAGGGTTAATAATAATAAAATAATAATAATGCTCTCATAACTACCATGTCAGACTACACAAATAAAGTTAATAATAATAAAATAATAATACTCTCATAACTACCATGTCAGACTACACAGAGAAGCCATTGAAATACACAAGCATGTGGACAATTTCAACAGAAAGGAGGAAACCATGAAAATGAACAAAATCTGGCTACCAGTATTAAAAAACTCTAAAATTACAACAGCAAAATAGGCACATCTAATCACCTCTCAACAAAAGATTGCCCCAGGCACTGCCAGCCATCAAGTGCTAATCAAGGTGGTCAGTTGAAACATTCACACCTAGCTCCAGCAGACAAGAGTTCTTTATCCCACCCTAGTCATTCCACAGATATATAAACCCATTTTCCAAGTTCCAACAGACCTCACTACCTCTGAGGATGCTTGCCATAGATGCAGGCGAAACGTCAGGAGAGAATGCCTCTAGAACATGGCCACATAGCCCGAAAAAACCTACAACAACCCAGTGATTCTGGCCATGAAAGCCTTCGACAATATATGGTGGGATTTTCTGCCTTGATATTCTGGGTTACATGGCTGTGTGGAAGGGCCCTAACTGTAATCTGGTCTTCTCCTTTTCCCAATGCCTTCTACCATACCAAGCATTGCCTTTCCTAGGGAATCATATCTTCTCACAACATGCCAATAGTACAGTAGTCTTAGTTTAGAATCATAGAGTTGGAAGAGACCTCATGGGCCATCCAGTCCAACCCCATTCTGCCAAGGAGCATTCAAAGCACCCCTGACAGATGTCCATCCAGACTCTGCTCAAAAGCCTCCAAAGAAGGAGCCTCCGCCACACTCGGGCAGAGAGTTACACTGCTGAACAGCTCTCACAGTCAGGAAATTCTTCCTCATGTTCAGGTGAAATCTCCTTTCTTGTAGTTTGAAGCCATTGTTCCACGTCCTAGTCTTCAGGGCAGCAGAAAACAAGCTTGGTCCCTCCTCCCTATGCCTTCCTCTCACGTATTTATAAATGGCTATCATGTCTCCTCTCAGTCTTCTCTTCTTCAGGCTAAACATGCCGAGCTCTTTAAGCCGCTCCTCATAGGGCTTGTTCTCCAGATCCTTGATCATTTTAGTCTTTGGACACATTCCAGCTTATCAATATCTCTCTTCAATTGTGGTGCCCAGAATTGGACACAGTATTCCAGGTGTGGTCTAACCAAGGCAGAATAGAGCATGGGTAGCATGACTTCCCTGGACCTAGACACTATACTATTGATGCAGACCAAATTGGCTTTTTTTGCCGTCACATCACATTGTTGGCTCATGTTTAACTTGTTGTCCACAAGAACCTCAAGATCTTTTTCACACGTACTGCTCTCGAGCCACGCGTCCCCCATTTTGTATCCTTGCATTTCATTTTTTTTCTGCCAAAGTGGAGTATCTTGCATTTGTCACAGTTGAATTTCATTTTCTTAGTTTTGGCCCATCTCTCCAATCTGTTAAGATTATTTTGAATTCTGCTCCTGTCCTCTGGAGTATTGGCTATCCCTCCCAATTTGGTGTCGTCTGTAAACTTGATGATCATGCCTTCTAACCCTTCATCTAAGTCATTAATAAAGATGTTGAACTGGACCGGGCCCAGGTTGAATCATCTTGGCTTCTTGGGAGAGTTTGGCTTGATTCGCTCTAGACCCTATTTACTTACCTTTCTAACAATCCACAGTCACTACAGAACTGTTCTCCAGCACTACAATTCAAATGAATTACTTTTGTCCCTATCGGTTTTTTCAAACGTACATAGAAATGGGAAATACAATGGCATGGACAATCCTAACTTTAATATTCATTCATATACCTTTACACTTCAAAATCGTGTCGACTTTCTTCTTTGAATTGGATTATCTTAATTGAACTGGATTGTCTGAGTCTACACTGCCATATAATCCAGTTCAAAGCCGATAATCTGGATTTTTTCTGGCAGGAGCCCCCGATGGTACAATGGGTTAAACCCTCTTGCCGGCAGGACTGCTGACCAATAGATCAGCAGTTCAAATCCAGGGAGAGTGGGTTGAGCTCCCTCTGTAAACTCCAGCTCCCCGTGTGGGGACATGAGAAAAGCCTCCCACAAGGATGGTAAAACATCAAAACATCCGGCCGTCACCTGGGCAACGTCCTTGCAGACAGCCAAGTCTTTCACATCAGACGCGACTTGCAGTTTCTGAAGTCATTCCTGACATGAAAAAATAAATAAATAAAAATCTGGCAGTGTAGAAAGGGACTCGGTCTTGACTGTAGCTTCCAATTCAATTAATAACCAAGTGAAAAGTATGGAATATGCCCTCTATTAGCAACTTCCTTCTAGGGGACCTTCCACACAGCCATGTAATCCAGAATATCAAGGCAGAAAATCCCACAAAATCTGCTTTGAATTGGGTTATCTTATTTGTTTGCTAACTGCATTTCTACCCCACTCTATCTCAACCGCAAAGGGGACTCAGAGTGACTTCCAGATTGGCAATAATTCAATGCCACATTAAACATAAAAACATATGAATTACAATATACATTAAAATCATTAAAAAGTCATAAAAACAATGGCATATAAATACATTCCATATATGGTTAAACACTGCACACAGACCCAAAATCTTAGTTCAAAAGTCGTTCCAAATTGCATTCCATTCCATTCGCTTCATAGCTGCATGTTGACCCTGTGTTACTTCCAAAATGCTTGATCCCATAGCCAGGTTTTAACTTTCTAAATGACAGGACAGAGAGAGCCAATCTGATTTCCCTAGGGAGGGAGTTCCAGAGCCAAGGTACCACCACTGAGAAGGCCCTGTCCCATGTCCCCATCAATCTTATCTGCAAAGGAGGCAGGACCAAGAGCAGGGCCTCCCCAGACGATCTTAGCATCCATGCTGGTTCATACAGGTAAATTGGGATGGTTTAGGGCTTTATAGTTGTGCTCGGTAGCAAGCTGGCAACCAGTGGAGCTGACTCAGCAAGGGGGTTGTATGCTCCCTGTACACCACTCTGGTGAGCAATCTGTCTGCTGTCCTTTGGACTATTTGAAACTTTTGAACAGTCTGGGCCCAAACCATTAAGGACTTTATAAGTTAAGCCAGCATCTTGAATTGTGCTCGAAAACAGACTAGTAGCCAGTGCAGTTGTTTTAGAAGAGGGGTGTTTCTTTCCCTGTACCCAGCTCCTGTGAACAGTCTAGCAGCTGACCTTAGAACCAGTTGAAGTTTCCGAACACTCTTCTGAGGCAGCCCCACATAGAGCCCATTACAGTAGTTTAATCCGAATGTGACTATGGCCAGATCAGGCCTTTCAAGGTACAGGCACAGTTGGCGCACCAGCTTTAACTATGCAAAGCCCCTCCTGACCACTGCCGATACCTGGGCCTCCAGGGTTAAACTGTGGACCTCCAAACTGCGGACCTGTGACTTCAGGGGGAGTTTGATCCCATCTAGCACAGGTTGCTGGGTGGGGTTCTCAAAAGTCTGTGGGAGGGTGGCCCTCACCTGCTTTTCTTTGGAATAAGAAAATATCATTTTGCTCCATAAAGTATTGATAAAAGACTCCATTGGCTCCTGATTAGTTTCCAATCCCAATTCAAGGAGCTGGTTTTAACCTATAAAGCCCTGCACTACTTTGGTCCAGGTTACATGATGCCCGGAGCCCTCGGTGGCGCAGTGGGTTAAATCCTTGTGCCGGCAGGACTACTGACTGAAAGGCCAGTGGTTCAGATCAAGGAGTGGGGTGAGCTCCCATGTGTCTGCTCGAGCTTCTCATGCGGGGACACGAGATAAGCCCCCCACAAGATGGTAAAACATCCAGGCATCCCCTGGGCAACGTCCTTGCAGACGGCCAATTCTCTCACACAAGAGTTGACTTGCAGTTTCTCAAATCGCTCCTGACACAAAAAACAAAACAAACTTGAGACACCGTCAGGCCAGATAGACTTCTAAGGTGCAGTAGGACGATCTTGATTTTGACATAGTTCCTGGCTAACATGCGCTTAAAAATCACAAGATAAGGTACGTTTTCGAGGACAGCTCCTAAGTTGTGGAACTTGCCGCTGGAGGAAGTTATCTCCACTCTCACACTCATGACATTTAGGAAAGGCGTGAAGACTTTCCTCTTTGAAGCCACTTTTAACTGAAGCCAGGCCCTTATGATTACAGAAGAATGGGGAATTTTAGATTGATTTTAACTTTTAATGTTCAATAATATGGAAAGTTTTGAAGAACTATTGAACTTTTAATACTTGTTTAGCTATGTTTTAAAACTATTTGTACGTATATTTTTAATTATGATGTGAGCTGCCTTGGGTCCATTCTGGAGAAAGGTGGTATAGAAATCTCTGCAATGAATAAATAAATAAATAAAAGAAAAAAATCCCAGACAGGCACATGGCTTGCATTCTTGAAATTGTTTCTGCATATTTTGTTCTTCTCCCTGAAGGACTTGGGGAAGAGTGTGCTACGGGTGTTGATTCGGAGTTTATAAAGCAGGCATGGGCAAACTTCAGCCTCCCTTGCTGTTAGGAATTGTGGGAGTTGAAGTCCAAAACACCTGGAGGATCAAAGTTTGCCCATGCATGCAATAAAATGTAAGTGCATTTCTCAGTGATCTCTTGCAACTTGTTAGTCACCACTCTTTAGTCATCCCCATTCTGTTTTCTTTTCCAGTACCGCAGTCTGCATCTCCTCGTTTGAGCCGATGAAGAGACATCATCATCACTCCATAAGGGAATTTCCTTGCCATCGCTTTCTCATGTCATTATGGATTACTAATGGACTGTGTGCTTTAAAATGGGATTTAAAATGAGAAGTGGCCATCCAGGCCATGCACCCTGAGCATCCTTCCAGCCTCTTCCTTCTCTGCTGTTTTTGTTAGACATTCATGTAAACACATGCAAACTATTGCACTGGTCTTTTTCCAACCAGAGATTCCCCTACATCTGTGGAGCCTTTAGGTTTGTTGACTCTTCATCATTATGGCTTCAGTGTGGAAAAGACTGCAACGTGTTGGGAAACATGCATCCAAGTTCCAGTTTGTGGCCTCTTACCAGGAGCTGATGGTTGAGTGCACCAAGAAATGGTGAGTAGCATCCTCTGTTGAAATGGTTTGTTCTTGGCTGTTTGCTTCCTCCTATCTCCAGGTGGAACAGAAAGAAGTTTACAGATCTCCCTTTTGTAATGCTTGATACCTATTAAATCTTATGGAAATACATTTTGCTTTCCATTAGGAGTTTTCCTGTAGAGTTATATCAAGCATTTATCAGCCTTGTACTGCTTTCTTGCAACTTCATGGATTTTGTTTCAATAGATGTTACTACAACAGGCTTTTGGCAGTCTCTTACTTTGCTTACCAGACTCTGCCGGAAGAGTTCATGACAGACATTCCAAGGCTGACAGTATGGTTTATTTCACTCTGTTTACCTCTGACTTTTGATTCTGCTTAAAAATATTTCATTTCCCCCTTTAAACTCTGGAATGGGAACAGTCAAGACTTAGCCTTGGGAATTATCTCAAGTTATTTGCTTAGTCAAGCAAGAATTTCATGTAGCAATAACCCAATGGGACATAGTTTCAGTCAGCTAGACAGTTCTGGGTAGTCACTTGTACAGACCTATCCTAGATGCCTGTCTTCACTTCTGCAAAGTTTGATTTCAAGTCTAGTAAGTTTACACCTACTCTTTCTATTTGCCTAAATGCTTCATCAGAAATCAACCAAAGTAGTCTTTTAAAGAATGTAGTTTCTCTGGCACAATTTTACATATGTGTTCTCTGTTCTTTTCTGCACTATCAATTTGCATAGCAAATACTTAGCACTTCATGGGTGAAGTAACCATAGACAGCAACTGAAGAATCTATTTTCTTATTCTTCCCATCAGTCCCACCACCGGTCCAGGGTACTTAATTGTACTCAGTTTATGTTTATCACTTCCCATGCAATACCTTGTAATTTCACAATATTTTTATAAGATATTATCCTTGAATTTCCAGTAGGAGTGATAGAAATTAGCTCTCCCTCATCAGTTCACAGCAGTGGTGAGATTTGAACTTGGGACTGAGATGTGGGGACGCTTGAACTTAGAAATTCTTGTTTAGTGCCTTTGAAAATGCATTGTTAGTTGAGACATATGCAATTTATGAGCTCAAAGAGTCTGTTTTTAGTACAGAAAACCATGCAGTGCATAAATGTTAAGTAGTGCAAGGCAACTGTGAATTTCCTGCATATAATTTTTTTTGATGAAACTTTATTGCTGAATCCACTTGCAACAAATAATTCATGGTGTTTATGAGAAGACATTCCTTTATTGGGATAGTGTTGTCTGTTTTCCTGGCCAAGATCCCATGCCTCCAAAACTGATACAAGTAACAGAATTCAGCAGATAGATCTTTTATTTGTCCAATAGATACTCGAGGTATTGGAACTGTGATGGAACAAAGCTGGCAAACACACCCCAAGAATGTCAAAGGATCAGTTTTCTGACACTTCTCACATATCCGTTCTCTTCCACCAAATAATGGTTTCTGACTCCCAGTTTAACAAATCATATTTGGTAAGAATAATTCCCAGGAGTATTCAGAGGATGCCGGATCTTCTTTTGTAGTTGTGGCAGCTTCTCAGTTGTCTTCTAATCTCTATAATATATTGATGAGGGTGGTGGATCGTTTTTTAAATGAGATTCCTCAGAATGTTATTTATCCCATTATTTTTTTCTTTCATTATTTTGATTTTTCTTAAATGTTTTCCATGTTGTAAAGGCTTATTCTCAAAGGCTTTAACTCCAGATAAAATGTCTTGCTAAATTTTCATATACAGCAGCTTTTAGGTCAAAGCAAGTTACACATGGACAGCAAGTTAAACATGAGCCAACAATGTCATGTGGCGGCAAAAAAAGCCAATGGGATTTTGGCCTGTATCAATAGGAGCATAGTGTCTAGATCTAGGGAAGACATACTACCCCTCGATTCTGCCTTGGTTAGACCACACCTGGAATATTGTGTCCAATTCTGGGCACCACAGTTGAAGAGAGATATTGACAAGCTGGAATGTGTCCAGAGGAAGGTGACTAAAATGGTCAAGGGTCTGGAGAACAAGTCCTATGAAGAGCGCCTTAAAGAGCTGGGCATGTTTAGCCTGAAGAAGAGAAGGCTGAGAAGAGACATGATAGCCATGTATAAATATGTGAGAGGAAGTTACAGGGATGAGGGAGCAAGCTTGTTTTCTGCTTCCCAGAAGACTAGGACACAGAACAATGGCTTCAAACAACAAGAAAGGAGATTCCATCTGAACATTAGGAAGAATTTCCTGACTGTGAGAGCTATTCAGCAGTGGAACTCTCTGCCCCGGAGTGTGGTGGAGGCTCCTTCTTTGGAGGCTTTTAAACAGGCTGGATGGCCATCTGTCAGGGGTGCTTTAAATGCAGTATTCCTGCTTCTTGGCTGGGGGTTGGACTGAATGGCCCATGAGGTCTCTTCCAACTCTGTTATTCTAAATGCTTGCACTTTTTAATGGTACAGCACAAAAGATTTAAATTCAAGGCTGAGATAACCAGTCTCCTTGTCGGAGGACCTAAATAACCAAGAGATCCTGCCTGACACTGGAAGCTAAGCAGGGTCAACCCTGACTAGTCCTTGGATGGAGGACTGACAACAAAAACTGGGTGCTGTAGATTCTACTCTTTATTTATTTATTTATTTATTTGCTATACTTGTATACCGCCGTTTCTCAGCCTAGCCGGCGACTCAACGCGGTTTACAACAACTTATAACAAACAACAGTATACAGTTTAAAAGCATAAAAACACGATCCACAATATCAATAAACAATCCAATTCATCTCTTGACTAAAATCGCGATCCAGTTTCGTCGTCCAAATTGCCAGTCCTTCAATCATTACACTTATTGCACTGAGTTAACCGAACGCCTGCTCGAACATCCAGGTTTTTAGTCTTTTCCGGAAAACCATCAATGAGGGGGCTGATCTTACCTTCTCCTTCAGAGAAAGAAACTGGCAAAACCACTTCTGAGTATACCTTGCTTAAGGAAACCCTATAAAATGCATTAAATTGCCATAAGTCAGAAGCAACTTGAAAGTGCATACATACTCTCTCATTGTCTGAACTTTAGTAGAAGGACGTTTGTTCTATGACAGGCATTTGATATGTGGCCAAACTCTGATGATATGCCGGCCTTGATGTGAGAGAGTTCACCCTGGGGAGTTCACCCAACACTCTCTGTGGATTCATTATCTCTTTCAAGTTCAGCAGCAAAAGTTTGAAGTGTTCAATTTATTGTCGAAGGCTTTCGTGGCTTAAATCACTGGGTTGTTGTAGGTTTTTAGGGCAGTATGACCATGTTCTAGAAGCATTCTCCCCTGATGTTTCACCTGCATCTGTGGCAAGCATCCTCAGAGGTTGTGAGGATGCTTGCCACAGATCAGGCAAAACATCAGAAGAGAATGCTTCTAGAACATGGCCATACTGCCCTAAAAACCTACAACAACCTGTTTGAAGTGTTTTTTGCATTAATATAGCCTGATTCTGCAATGGCTTAGGTAACCCTAAACCCACTGATTTCAGGAAATTTATGTATGCGTAAGATTGGGCTGCTAATCTGAGTGCTGTCTTGAACCTCGTGTGTTCTGTTTAAGGAGGTGAAACCAGTTTTGAAAGTTTAAAAAAATCCATCCGTATTTAAGTTAAAATTTTAAACCCTTTCTTGCCACAAATATCAATTTTGTGCAAATCATGGATGGCCATATTTTGCAAAAAAAAAAGCTGATTATTTTTGAAACCTTGATACTTTTTTTGGTAGGTTAGTGAACAGCTTTGAAATTCTAACTTTGCTTTTCTCTTAGTTTATTTGAACAAAGCTGCAGAATTGGCACAAGTAACTGTAAGATATGAAGCAAATGTTTTCCTGTGCACTGTTTTAGGAAGGAAAGTCAGTTAAGCATGATGTGGTAGTTAAAGAGTAGAGTATATGCCCTAGGACCTGTACTGTAAGTGTCCCTTTGATTAAAAATCCAGTAAACATAGTTTTATTTGAATGTACTGGCATTCCAGCATTCCAACAGTACAATGCTTTTTCGCAAGAATAAAAGACCATTTATAAGTTAAAAAGACGAACAATGAAGCATTAAAATGCACTTGAGAGAAAAATAGGATTCTGAGAAAATATTTTTCATGAAAAAGTGGTGGCTTGAGAGTAGCAGGTTCCTTGATCTACATAGCTTTTTCTCTCATCTCCTTTATATGAGAATGTGAAATTTCTATGATGTATATAATCAGTGACTTCATTAAATAGTTTTTACGTTTTTCTTCAATGCAATTGAAACTGTATCTATTTTTGTCTCATACATTTTTATTATATGTTTAAAAAGCAAAAACAAAAAAAATATGTTTCACATAAAGAAAAATAGTAAAAGTAAAGAAAAGGAGGTAAGCGTTGTGAAGCTTTGATTAGTAGATTAGGAAACTACCTGTTTTCATTTGCCCTTGGATATATATTTTCCAAATACTTTTAAGAAACATAATGTTGATGGCAGTCCGTGTTAATGGAAGGCCGCTGTTGCTCTACTCCACTTTTTCCATCTTGACAGCTTTTCCTGTTTAAATGGATTTGTTCTTGGCAGACCTTCAACTATCCTGCACAGCAAAGTGGTTTTCTGTTTTGCTTTTCCATCTTAGTTTTAGGGGTTTCTTATACATTTATTAAAAGTAGCTATTCCACTGAATCCTTGTATTTCTGGATTGCCTAACATTATCAGTATACCATTAAATGAAAATATAGTTGTGTATTTTACTGGAAAATACTGTTTGTAGCATTTTTTTCCTTGACCACCTTAGGTTTAATCTGCAAGTTTTTATTGAGGCTAATGAATATTTCTTCTCCAATTATATTGCTTTTCCTTTCCCTCCCATATACATTTTGTGGGCCCCAGAGAATATGAACCCATAGTCTCATCATCTAGAAAAATAGATCCAATGAGCTGTTTTTGATGTGTATATTGGGATCTGTAAACAGCTCAGTTTGTACTATTGTCTTTGTAGGACTGGTCCTGATATTAGGAAGAATGAAAGCAGC